TTATATTTAACATAATTTTTTAATTGAATCTTAGGAAATTTCACATTACCCCAATTCCACTCACCCATCTCAGTCCTCCATATTTTCCCCTCTTCCCCTGCAGTGGACCCCTTTCCCCCAACAGGAAAAGAAAATCAAACCAAAACAAGCAAGGAAGCAAACAAAAAACAGGATAAAAAACTAAACAACAACAACAGAAACCTATTCTCCATCTTTCTCACTTTCTCCAACACCTCTTCATTAGTCCTGGTGGCATTGGGATCTTCGTTGTGTCACATAGTATATACCCCTTTGTTCAGTCAGCTTTACTGAACCAAATGTTCATTGCAATGAGCCACTGGTCTGGTTCAAGACCTTTGGTTTCTGGTACACCCTCATCACTGGATCCTCATGGAAATTTTTCTTGGATACCTGGTGGTAGCCCCAAGTCATGGAAATCCTGTGTATTTATATAGTTATTTATTTGGTTTTTCGAGACAGGGTTTCCCTGAAGCTTTGGAGGCTGTCTTGGTACTTGCTCAGTAAACCAGGCTGGCCTCAAACTCGCAGAGATCTGCCTGTCTCTGCCTCTTGAATGCTGGGATTAACAAGCTCTATATCAATAGCAGCCGAGTTAATAATAATAATGATAATGATAATAATAATCGAGTTAATAATATAAAAGCTGTAGCAAGAAACTAGCTACAAGGCTTGTTATGTACCATTTCACTACCACGTTCTGTGTTCAGTAGAGTCAGGCCAACATCTTGATGAGAAGGTGATTGCCTCTCTGGGCCTGGCCTTTTGCTCTGCTGTGATACCAGCTTCTCCAAGTAGTCTCAAAATTACTACAGTAGTCAGCGGATACTTGACAAAGAACATTGACCATATTTACATTATTCCTCTGTGTGTGTGTGTGTGTGTGTGTGTGTGTGTGTGTGTGTGTGTGTGTGTGTGTGTGTGTATGTGTGTGTGTATGTGTATCTATCCACATGTACATATGATGGACACAGATGATCCTTTATCTTTGAATCATTTGAAGATAAGATTTTTGAAGATAAGATGTCAGCATCATATTTTTCTCTTAAACTACAATATTTCTAGAAGTGAGAATGTTTCTCTACACAGCTACTGTATAGTAATTAAAAATTAGGAAATTAAAATAAATCTGACCTGTTTATGCAGACACTGTTAATTTTCTAATGTCCTCTGAATCATATGTTGCATGGTCTTGTTTTTGTGTCTTTAACTGAGTCATTTTCTTATTTTGTCTGTTTCACATACTGAATTTGTTCCTTATGTTTGGATTCAGGCTCTACATTTTCACCATAGTATAAAAATGATATTGTTTCTTAGTGCTTTGTGTAAGTGGCATTTGTATGATTTAACTCAGTCCCATTTGATCTCTCTTGCCTTATTTTAAGGGGAACTGGGTTTCTGGGAATGAACCCAGGGTTTCATGAATGCTAAGTATACATTCTACCACTGACATATACTCTGCTTCATTCTGTGACACATATAATTGGAGTAATTTGTTTCAGAGTGTGATTATACTTCTGTTTGAGGATACAAATGAAAAGATTTTTATTGTGGGGCCATAATTTTTTTAAGCACCTACTCACCCACCCCCACTACAACAACTTCCTCTACCGAGTTACTTGAAAAACCTAGTGCAGAGTGCAGTTGGAGATGGTGGTCTTAGTTATGTATGTCTTTCCCACCCTAGTACATTGACACAGATTGCTGTCAGGTTGTTAGAAGGTATTGTTGTTATTTTACATCAAAGAGCAAAAGTAGAAGAGACTTTAAAGTTAAGAAAAAGTCCCTTTTAAGTGTTTCTACACAGTATGCATAATAGCAAGTAGGGAACATGTCTTCATCTATTGGGGTCTGTCTACTCCTTGTCTTTGACATCAGCTCAGGGGATGTTTGGTCTGTTTATTAGGAATGTGCTTACTAAATGTGGTCCAGGAGGACCTTGATCTGCTTTGATCATATTTGTCACATTACCCAGAACTGAGTAATGTGACAAATTATACTGAGTCAAATTCTAGTACTGTTGCTTTTAAATTGGCTCTTAAGATAAGATCTGATTCAAAGTTTGAAAAAGGCTGATATACTCTTTTTTTAAAGTTGAAGCCGAGGATCAGATACCCAGGGTGTTGAGCTCTTCCACTGAACATACTCCTGATGAGTGTCCTTTTCAAAGGATGCATGGCTTCATAAGCTGTTTTCTGCAATTTGTAGATTAAAAAAATGAATAAACTATTTAAAGATAAATCATGTGTTTACTTAAAAATGTATTTTCAAGGCTAAGGATATCAACTAGTTGTTAGAGTACTTAGTACACACAAGGAAATTTTTGTGTTTGTAAATTATGAATATGAATACACCAAGTATCTCTCTGTCCATTTGCCCTAACTGTGCATAGGTTCCCGTAAGGGCACACATTTATACCGTATGCGCATTGATGTTTGGACATACCTCTACTTGGTCCCTAGTAGTTGCTCAGTAAGTAATTAGTGAGGGGCAAACGTGGTGCAAACATTACGTGGGGGCTGATGCTGGTGAGCCTGCTGTGGTTTTCCATTAGTTACCAAGCACTTTCCCAGTCAGTACTGACTTCATTTGTGTTTTATGCCATGTTATTAGAGTGTATATTGATGTGTATCATTGTAGTCAGTTTCTTTCTTGAAGGTATGAGTTAGGCTTCTCTGTCCTGCATTTTCTTTTCTCTTAAGTCATCATTCAGAAACCCCAGTGCTTTATTATAATTATATACTGTTTTAAGAAGTTTGGGTTGAGCTGGGCGGTGGTGGCGCATACCTTTAATCCCAGCACTCGGGAGGCAGAGGCAGGCGGATCTCTGTGAGTTCGAGGCTGGGCTGGACCGATAGCCTCCGAAACAATACAGAGAAACCCTGTCTCATAAAAACCAAAAAAAAAAAAAAAAAAAAAAAAAAAGTTTGGGTTGTTAATGTTTTCTTTTCTACTTTCTTCTTCTGCAAATAGCTCATTTATGTTGCTTGACTGCAATTCTTTTTAATCCCCTTTCAACATGAAGCAGACAATCAGTAACATTAAGAAAAGCAGAATTACTGTAAGCTCTATGATTCCATTTACAGAGATTTCCCCATGCTTCTAGCCGTTTTTTCAATTCATTAATGTGCTTCCAGAACCAGAGTGCTATTGTCCAACATTAGAGGTAGAGTGAAGGTTGACTTTTCTTTGGTTTAGTGGTATGATTACTAATTTGTTCTGTACTCACGGCATTTTTTTTCTTGGAGGGGGGGCTTATTTGTCTTTTTCTCCGCTTTCTTGTTTTGATATTTAAATTGGTTGAGATTTGTTGTTGTTTTTGTTCTTTAATGGGAATTATTTTTGGCCATAAAACATGTTAAGATACTGAAATCTGACAACTTTTTGTACGTTTGTGGTTGTACATTTCCTTAATACATTGCTGAATATAGGGGTAGGAGGAAACCTCTTACCTCTTCCCCAGCAGAAAGAAAGTATGTACAAATGGATGGGTTTGCAAGTTTGTCTTTTAGAAAATCTAATGGATTGAAGGCTACAGAAAAAAAAAAACCCACAAAAGCCTTATCATTTTGTGCCCACTCCCTCTTTTACTTGCTGGAATTTTGTCTGGCTTGAAGTTATGCAGGTCTTGTGCCTGCTATTAAGTCTGTGAGTTATCAGTCTGCTGTGCATAGATAGAGGCTGTTTTCCTTGGAGTTTTAGTCCATGTTTTTGCAATGGCTCCACTTCCTCTTCAGCATAGATTCCTGAGCCTTGAGGGGAGGGAGTTCGTAAAGACATCCACATAGGACTGAGTACTCCCTCTCTCACTTCATGCACATTGTCCCATTGTGGATCACTGCGTTAATTACCATCTACTGTAAGAAAAGTCTTCTCATCCCCAAACAGGAAGCTATTTGTAACTGATACCTACTGGAAGAGGAAAAACCAGTTTTCTCCAATGGAGTGTCCCGGGGTATATCAGCTTGGGCTACATGAGAAGGGGGCACTACTTTTTACTAATGCTTCAGTAGACTTGGTAATTCCTCATTTGTTTCTGTAAACTATATAAACTCCTTGGGTTTTATAGTATGCCCAGTCCAAATCAGATCCCTCTATTGCACCTACATGACAGTGGTGCATTTGATTACTCTTTGTTTAAAAAACAAAAAACAACAATTAAAAAAAAAAGTCACTAACCATCGTCTGTGGAAAAGAATCCAGGAGCAGATTTTTGCCTCATACTCTGTAGCTATTCCTGAGTATGAAGTAACTGAATGTTTTGAAATATTTCCACTTAGGCTTCTTTGCTGGCATGTCAGGAAAACATTGAGGGGGAAGGGTTATGTGTTTCATACTTTTTATATACAATACGGTACATACTGTAGAATAAAAATTAAACACAAAAGTATTTCTGTTTACAAAATCTTACGGTACTAGTTAGTATACAACTTACATGATTTGGTTCTGTCTTTCCATTATGTGGGTTCTAGGGATTGAATTTAGGTTAGCAGGTTGTTAGCAAGTGCTTTGACCTACTACCTCATAAGTCTCAGTGGTTTTTCTGTAAGATGTTTGATGTCAGCTATCCTCATTTGATCATGTGCCACTGGATCAGAGTAGGTATGTAAAGCCTGCCATTGGAGTTTTGTTTTTAGACTTATTTTATGCATATGAGCACTTGCCTGCACATATGCGTACCACATTCATGCCTGGTGCCCAAGGAGGTCAGAAGAGGATGGGCCCCATGGAATTGGAGTTACCATTGATTGTGAACTGGCGTATAGGTGCTAGGGATTGAATCCTGGCTTCTGCAAGTGTTTTTAACTGCTCAGCATCTCTCTGGCCCCACTGCTATCTATTGTTTTTAAAAGCTTTGTATCATGCATTTGTTATTTCTGGGCACAGATGATTGTTGGGATTTCTCTGACAAGTCATAAGGGACACTTTCTTATTGTGGTATTTATCAATTTATTTACTTTATTTCTTTAATTTTTTTCTAGGAAGTTTGGTGAGCGGCCTCCACCTAAACGACTCACTAGGTAAGCATTATACTAGCCATTCAAACATTGACTGTGCATATAGAGTCTGTCGTTTTAGACACTAACATTAGAAATCATTCAGATATAGTAATTACATCTTGAGCTTATTCCCACCCCTCTATTTCCTTCTCTCTTAAAGAAATAAACAGGGCTAAAAGGATATACGTTAAAAATGAAAAAGTGAAGTATTTTCAAAATCTCATCTTAAGTAATAGATTTTGAAAATAACTGCAACAGTGTTTTGCCAATCACACTTTGATAATTAAGGGGAAGATAAGAGATTTAATATATGCTTTCTGATTTGAATATTAAAATATTCCTTTTCCCCATCTAAAGAAAACCTAAGATTTACCCATTTTCATGGTAATATAGTATTTTAATTATAAGTTAAATTCTCAATCATATATTTCAAAGAATTAATTTAAAAGCTCATAAAATTTTTTGTCAGGTTATAAAGTAAGCAACCCAGTGGTTTTAACAGTTTCAGCCCTCACTCAGTGTTGTTCTTAATCTTTTAAGAAGCAGGTGGGTGTGGGTGTAGATGTGTTTTCTTTTGAACCTAAACTGGGATCCCGCTTTATTATTGCTCTTCATCCTTAACCCCACAATATATTATATTACCTTAGTCTTCAGAATTCTCTGTAATAGTTCCGTGGTGTTCTGTTGTAGCCACATCCTTCTTGGTTCATACTGATAGCTATTAGGCTATTATCAAATAATTACTATTAAAATATTTGTTAAAAACAATTGTGGGCTGGGCATGGTGGTGCACACTTTTATTCCATGCTGTACTGGGAGGCAGAGGCAGCTAGATCTCTGAGTTCAAGGCTAAGTTGATCTGCATAGTAAGTCCCATGCCATCCAAGGCTGCATAGTGCGATCTTGTCTCAAGAAAGAAGGAATGGAAAGAAAATTGTACTTAAGAGTGATGAACACAGGGCCAGTCGATGGTTGCACATGCCTTTTTATTCCAGCACTAGGAGGCAAAGGAAGCTATGACTAAAACTATAGGAAGAAGTAATGCCTGAAAATATGCTGTTGAAAGCTTTTGAACCATAGATTCAAGAAACTCAATCTCAAGTGTAAAAGTATGTTGAAGCACGTCATGGTCAAATTAATTACCAGTGGTAAAGAAAAAAAAATGTAAAACAAGGGATAAAGATGGATTTCAAAAGCAAAGATAAAGATCACAGCAAGTTTTTCATCTGAAATTTTGCTATAGATCAGACAGCTTTAAAGTTAATTCAAAAGGGTGTAAATAGAGACTTTAACATTAAAAATATCATAAACATATTGAAAGAAATTCTTCCAAGCATAAAGACAATATTAGAAATACTAGAAAACTGATTCTAATTTATTGGTCTAAGAACAAGAAAGAGAATATTACTGCAGACCTTGCAGATACCAAAGGCTAATAAGCAAATGCTTTAATAACTTCTGAAGAAATGCTTAAGTATCTTAAACTAACAAACTGTCTAAGCTTGTTAAGGAAGAAGTTGACAACCCAAATAGCCTTATCTAAAGAGACTGAATTTATTATAAAAACTTTCCAACAAAGAAACTGCAGACATAGTCTGGCTTCACTGCTGGATTCTACAGAGTGCTTAAGTGAGAAAACGCCACTTTCTAAAAGTGGGGAGACAGGCTGTAGTTCTAGTTGATTCTGTGAGGACAGACTACTCAGTTACCTAAGGTAGACAATGCTTGCAATATTACTAACAACATTATGAGAAAGTAAAACTGTAGACTAACATCTCATGAGAAAAGATTTCTATTTTATGAGGACAGACTACTCCATTACTCGTAATGCTACTAAAAACATTATGAGAAAGTAAAACTATAGACTAACATCCCATATGAGCAAAGATTTCTATTCAGAAGTTCAAAAAAGGATTGCAGTCTGCAAGCACAAGTTCTAGGAAATGCAAGCTGTTCTTCTGACAAAATAAAGGATTTCAGAGACTCAAAAGGACAGCTTTGGAAAACTGAGAATCTCTTGTGGTGGTGGTGTAGTGTGCTCATGCTAAAACCACCATAAGGTATGCCAGTGAGATCTCAAAACTTTTAACATCTTAGTAACCGTTTTACGTCTGAGATAACTTGGGAGAGGGAGACTAGAATATCTTCTAGGGGAGAATTCCGCTAAGGTTTGTTTCTCTTAAAAAGAAAAATAGATATCTTCATTGCCAATGCAAACTTAGCAAAGTCAATCTAATAGCAAATAAAAATTGAAAACCAGTAACCAACTCTGCGGTAATTAATTTTATTGAGTACACACTTAGAAGTGCGATATTGTCTCATTAATTTTTATATTAAATTTAGTACCATCTAATACTTGGAAATGTATTTTTATGTTTCTCCTTTGAAGTGATTCTGCTTTAGGTAAGCAGTGTCTTATTTGGCCAAAAGTATTTTAAGGAGTTTGTCTCCACTGGGTTATAGAGAGTGTAATTTGGGGGCCATATCTTCTCTTTTGAGACACATTCAAGGCCTACCCTGAGCTGTTCTTTCTTACATTTCCCAAAGTAAATAGTATTGGGGGGAGAGTCTCTCATTGGAAATGGGGCACAAATAATTGGAGTAAAGACTATATACTATTCAGCATGACTGAATTTGTTTTTTTTTTTAAAAGAATTACATTTATTGTATGTGTGCACATGTGTATGCATGTATGCATATGAGTGTATGTGTTACACTGTGCTTGTGGAAGTGGGAAGTCAGCTTGAGAAAGGAGAGTATTCTCAGTTTCCACAGGTGGTCCCTAGGGATAGAAATCTACACATTTTTTCAGAGATAGTTTTGCTAATTTATTCCTCCCATAACTGCAGACTAGTAGCTGCTAACTCATGCTCTTGCTAGAATTTGTTTAGTAGCAGAGGAGTTCCTTTGTAAGGTTTACCATTACTTTAAATTTTGTATGACTGTTAGAATGATGTTTTGTTGTTCTCTCACTCAGAATATCCTGCTTAGGAGTAAAGCTTTTCAGAGCGCCTATCTTCTCTGGCTCTTATGGACACCCCACTTTGTTCTTAAAAGTCCTACACGTGAGACACATAAACCATGTATTTTTGTAGACTCAAGCTAGGCCAGTAACTGTTGAACAGTTTTTAGTAGTCGGACTATTCTCTCTGTTTAGTTAGTTATTGTGTGGGGGCATCATGTATCAGTGGCATATGTTTGGAAATGAGAGAACAACTTTCAGGAGTAGGTTAATCTCTTTCAAGATTGTCAGGCTTCCAAGGCAATCTCTACTTGCTGAGCCATTTTCCTGACCCCCTTCTCTATATTTTTACATAGTAAGATGATGCTCTTTCTTCTATATTTTTATGTGGTAGTATGTTTTAATCCATTCATTCTGTTAGGTAACAATCCTGTATAAATGCAATTATAGACTTGATAGGTATTGCTGTGTATGGTTGATGAAACAGCTCTCACCTCAAAGGAATAAAAGGCAGGGTAATCAGTAGCAAAATGTGAGAGTTCCAATGTGAGAGCAGTTTCATGGAGTTTTTATGGTAACAGAACAAAGAAAGTTATAAATCAGGGGATTTAAAAAATAGATTGATGGAGCCAGGCAGTGATGGCACACATCTTTAATACCAGCATTTGGGAGTCAGAAGCAGGCAAATCTCTTGAGTTCGAAGCTTGACTGGTCTACAGAGCTAGTTCCAGGATGGCCAAGGTTACACAGAGAAACTCTTTCTCGATAAAAACCAACCAACCAAACAACAACAAAACCCAAAAAAACTACATTGATGGAAACATCAGAGAAGCAGGTTGCAGCAAGATGGGAAGATAGACCTTGTATGTTGTCCATTAGCACTCTTAGTCCTTTGGTGGAAATCTAGGTTTTGTGGAGTTAATACATTCTAAAAGATTTTTATGTTTGTCGGGATGTTGGGTCTAGCTTGACACAGAGGTTGTAGTAGGGATATGACCATTTAGCAGACTTCAGATAGTCCCAAATAGATTGTAATTAGGCTTTGAAATAGCAAAATTCTAACCTTTCCACATCTTTGATTCCATCAGCCTGTGCAGACAGCTTCTTCCTAAAATTTCTTGTTCACAAGTACATTGAGGTTTGCATTAAGAACACCAAGTCAGTATGCTACATTAATGATAAATGATTGACATAGAAAGCCTTTACAGTTCCTTATGAAGGTAACCCCCAACCATAAAATTCTTTTTGTTGCTACTTCATAATGCATTTTTGCTACTGCTATAAATCATAATGTAAATATCTGTGTTTTCTGGTGGTCTTAGGTAAACCCTGTGAGAGTGGTCGCAACCCACAGTTTGAGAACCACTGCTTTGCACTGAATTCAGCATAAGCTAATCACACTTGAAGGGAGTCTGGAGATGAGGCTGGGACAGAGCAGGAAGGTACCTGGCATCCCTAGAATTCAGGGGGCCATGTTTGCAATGACAGGGCTGGAAATCAAGATGATGTCTTGACTATCTCCAGTGCTCCCTTTTGGTTATATGTTCCTAGAGACCTCTCTTCCCAGTTTGTCTCTGCACACACAGTGGGTGGTGGTCTTGGCGTGGTCAAATTGGTTATCTCCAAAGTAAAATCTGTAGGTTTGTAAGACACAGGAGTGCTTGTGGCTCATATCTCACAGACTGACTTTAAAAGGAGGGAAAAAAATAAATCACAAGAGTGATTAGAATTTGTTTCTTAGCTATGTGGTAAGATTTCAAGCTGTTTACTCATCTACACACTAAAAACTCATGTAGGATGAGGGACATTTTGATTTTTTTAGAGCAGAAATGAAATGAGATGTTTTGCTAGGGATCAAACACTCCAATTTCTAAAGCTTTGGTGACCAAGGGTGCTGGGAGTTTGTTTACTATTAGTACTATTCTTATACTGTCAACTTCAAAATTAGCCCTTGAGGAAATGTGTTCACAGAAAGCAAAAACAAACAGAAAAACAAAAGCCTCCCTTAAGGAAAAAGATTTTGGTTTAGTCTGCAAGAGGCTATTTGGCAAATCCCTGTTGTAGACAACTATTACTAATGACTACTACCAGACTCTAGTTATTTTTCTATTTGTACTAAATGAAGGGAACTGAAGCTGCCCCACACAGCCATAACACCTAGTTGCTTCTAGTACTAAACACTAGTACAATGCCAAGCACCTAGAAGGCAGTAAGTCCTAGATGGGAAGATGGATATGTGTGCTATCAGAAACTATGCTGCTCAAGTTGAATAAAATGCCCAGTAACACCGTAAAGTCCTTTATCCAGCTGCCTACAAAGCTTTTGTGGAAGTCCCCATCCTACTCCTCCTGCAGCCTGTGTAGTTAAGAGCTTGGAATGGCTTTTTAAAAAAGAAATAATAGTGGTATCTGTAACTTGCTGGTATGAGCTACTTGTCAGTAGGGGTTTAGCTTACTTTGAGTTATACCCCTCCATCCATAGCTTCCCAGAGGAGAAAACCCTCAGATTCAATAAGTGGCAGAGTTAAGATTCAGACCCTTGTATTTCATAGCAGAGCTGTGGCTTAGCCATTGAGGTAGCTTTGTCTTTGAGGTAGGTAGCTCAACTACTAAGCTTTGTACCCTGGCTCTTCTGTATCATTTCAAGAGAGCCAACCTTTCCCCATTTCTAACACGTGCTTGGTCATATGTCACCCTCAAGGCTGTTGGTTATATTAATACTTGCTTAGAAAAATAACTAGCACAGCCTTACTGGTCAGTGTCAGTCTTTCAATAGTGATATTATCTTTGTAGAAAGAATCTATACCTGCCTTAAGTTCTTTTACTCCAAGCCTCTATAGTCTGACTGGGAAGGTAGGAAAACCTGATAAATATTAGCAAATAATCCTTAAGTGATATAACAGGGACCATAAATGTTAATAGAATTTAGTTTGGGAAATAGGGTTATAGTTGAAACTTTTCAAGTATATAGCTGCTTCTCAAGTTTCCTGCCTGGGACTTTTGTACAAATTTTGACAGTGTTGGCTTTCTGTTGACTTTTGTTTTTATCTTGTTTATTTATACTTTTGTCCTTTTTTTTTTTTCATGTATACATGGTCTTGCTCCAGGGATCTCCTTGTTCTGCTTTCAAGGCTGGAATTACATGTGGGTCATCATGCTTACCTGGCATTTTAATGAATTCTGGGAATCCAACCTTCTTGCAAAGATTTTAACTGCTGAGCCATATTCCCAGCCCCCTTGTTTTATGTTTTAGCACTCTCCCATTCCCCAGTCTTACTCTCTGAACTGTCAGTTACCTGCCATAGCAACATCTCCAATCCTTGCCATGGCCATCCTGTTCAGCACCCTTTTCATTTGAAGACTTCCCCCAGTGCAAGGTCTTTCGTCCCCCTGTTCCTTGACTTAGATAGACACTATGTTTTAGGGCTTTCTGTGCACACCTTTGCTAATAGTGCCTGCTTCATTCTGTTTTCCTGCTCCCTTTGGTGACAGAGGTCCATTCTCTCTGTCCACACTGTGGTGTCACTTTGCTGGCAGAGGTCCATTCTCTCTGTCTACACTGTGGTGTCACTTTGGTGGCAGAGGTCTATTCTCTCTGTCTACACTGTGGTGTCACTTTGGTGGCAGAGGTCCATTCTCTCTGTCTACACTGTGGTGTCACTTTGGTGGCAGAGGTCCATTCTCTCTGTCTACACTGTGGTATCACTTTGGTGGCAGAGGTCCATTCTCTCTGTCTACACTGTGCTATCACTTTGGTGGCAGAGGTCTATTCTCTCTGTCTATACTGTGGTATCACTTTTCAGGCCTTGCAGCTAAAAGATTTTTATTTCTCTGTAAGAACAAATGTCATTTAGGTTCTCTAATTTGACCCCTTTAGCCACCCTGAGCTAGGGGGTTGTGTTAGCTCCCTATTTTCAGCTATGAAAATCAAAGTTAGGTGAGGCACAGTACACAAGTGACAACAAATCTACAATTCCCTACATTTAATAGCTTTGGACAGTTGACAGCTTATTACTGTCATTTGAATATACTTCTGTATGGTGTGTTTGTCTTTATTTGCAATGTAAGTAAAATAATTAATTTAGTGAAATATTTCTTCATTATCCTAACTTAATTCTTTGTTTTGTTTGTTTGTTTGTTTGTTTGAGACAGGGTTTCTCTGGAACCCTGGCTGTCGTAGAACTCATAGACCAGTGTGTTAGTGTTTCTATTGCTGTAAAGAGACACCATGACCACAGCAACTCTTACAGGTTTAAGCATTTAATTGGAGTGGCTTACAGTTTCAGATGTTTAGTCCATTGTTATCATGGTGGCATGTAAGCAGACATGGTGCTGGAGACTGAGCTGAAATTTCCACATCTTGACTTGCAGGCAACTTGAAGTGGTCTGAGACACTGACTGGGCTTTGTCTTGAGCATAGGAGACCTCAAAGCTCCTTCCCACAATGACATACTTCCTCCAGCAAGACCATGCCTACTGCAATAATACCTCTAATAGCGCCACTCCCTTTGGGGGCATTTTTCTTCAAACAACTACAACTAGGCTGGCCTCAAATTCAGATATCTGCCAGCCTTTGCTTCCCAGAGTACTGAGTTTAAAGGCACGTGTCACCACTACACAGCAACTTTTAATTTTGTGATGTGTAAAACATCTCAAGAATTGAGATTCTGCTTAAACCTATAAGAGTCGTGTGTGTCCATGCCCCCCCCCAGCACTTAGCTTTGACAGGATGATTGAGTGAATAAGCACACATTGAAGTTTGTATAAAACATTTGCTTAATAATCATGTTGCAGTTTTAATTTGATGTAATATTGAGTTTTTTGAAAGTTGAATACAATTTTCAGCAATTTCAGTTAGCCTCTGAATTTAATATATTTAGCAACATCCTTTGGGCAATTATATGTTGGGGTATAAGTAACAGGTCTTTCTAAATCCTTGCATGGGACTGTTAGTTGAGATCAGGCAAAATAATAATAGCAATTTCGGGGATTTGATGTTTTGTTGAGACTTAAGAAGTGAAAGGGTAGATGAACAAGATAAGCTACAGCAGTGCAAAGCTGTCCTCTCTCTCTCTCTCTCTCTCTCTCTCTCTCTCTCTCTCTCTCTCTCTCTCTCTCTCTCTCTCTCTCTCTCTCTCTCTCTCTCTCTCTCTCTCTCTCTCTCCCTCCCTCCCTCCCTCCCTCCCTCCCTCCCTCCCTCCCTCCCTCCCTCCCTCCCTCCCTCCCTCCCTCCCTCCCTCTCTCTCTCTCTCTCTCTCTCTCTCTCTCTCTCTCTCTCTCTCTCTCTCTCTCTCTCTCCCCCCCGGGTTTTTTCCTGTGTAATAATAGCCTGGGCTGTCCCAGAATTTACTTTGTAGTCCAGGCTGGCCTCAAACTCACAACGATCTGCCTGTCTTTGCCTCTCCAGTGCTGGGACTAATGGTGTACATCACCATACCCAGCTGTAAATATTAATTTTTAACAACCAAAATGCAGAGTGAAAGTGGGTATGTATTGTCCTTTATACAAGATTCTTTTAAGGTAACTTATGTATTTCTTTGTTTTCATTTGCTTATTTAAAAATGTTCATGAGTGTTCCTCTCACAGAAACTGAAAGATTTCATTAAAAATACCATCCCTACAATAATAAAATTTATATTTGATTTCAGGGAAGCTATGCGAAATTATTTAAAAGAACGAGGGGATCAAACAGTACTCATTCTTCATGCAAAAGTTGCACAGAAGTCGTATGGAAATGAAAAACGGTAAGATTATTGGGGAATAGGTACTTATTGTACAATTTGCATATGATTTATATTTATGTCTGAGGCTATATTTATTACTGGGCTTATTTTCATAGTAGAAAATGAAGAGGAGACTTATCTCTTAAAAAGAACAGTGAACTGTGGTATGTTCAAGTTGAAAAATTTAGAGAAGACCATCTGACCACATCCCTAATTTTACAAAATTAAGTCTGTTTTTCTTTGGGGTTGTGTTCCAAGAATCTTAGTGATACATTAGCTCATTTGCAAAACAGTTTCCCTTTGGGGATAAAGTGTAATTTGATAAACAACTGTAACCTCCCCCTCCCCCTGGTGCCATTTTAAAAAGGAAGAGACAGTTGTGACACAATTCTATAATCCTCAACACTGGAGATGCTGAGGCCAGCAGGATGGCAAGTTCAACTCTTCTCTGGGTTACAAAGTGAGTGTAAGGCCTGTATGAGTAACTTTGACATTGATGCAGAGAAGTCTAGGGATAGGCTGGAGAGATGGCCCAGTGGTTACGAGCTGCTTTTCCAGGGGACCTCTATAGCTCATGTCTGCACTGGCTATAACTCCAGCTCCAGGGGGAGCTGGCATCCTCTTCTGTCCTCTATGGCCAACCAACCAACCATATGTGGCATATGTGGCACACTCAATCTATTTTCTTTCTTTTTTTTTTTTATTTGTCTTTTTTCAAGACAGGGTTTCTCTGTGCAGCTTTGGAGCCTGCCCTGAAACTTGTTCTATAAACCAGGCTGGCCTCAAACTCACAGATCCGCCTACCTCTGCCTCCCAAGTGCTGGGATTAAAGACATGCGCCACCACCTCCCGGCTCACAAGTCTTTTTTAAAAGGTCTGGGGATACAGCTCAGTGACAGGGTTCTGGGTTCAGTTCCCAGTGCCATGATAGGTAGGTAGGCAGGCAGGCAGATTTTGCACAGATAATAACACATAAGTAAAGGTAAAAGATTGTAACTATAAATGTGTCTTGAGGTCAGTTTAAGTTGAGCTTTGGAGCCATTATAAAGAGCTCCCAGCTTCCTTAACCCTATCCCTGATAGTTGAGAACATTCACCTGCCACATAAAGTGCATATGGCAGCAGTGTGCATCTATAGGCCCACCTGCTTTGGAGGCCAGGTCAAGAGGACTTGAGCCCGAGAATTTCTGCCACATTGCAAGATCCATCTAAGAAAAAGAAATCTCCTTCATACTCAAACCTAAGTGGCCACTACAGAAATTACCTGCAAAGGTAATTATTGAATGTTATTTCTGTGTAATCTTTTTCATGAAATTCATATCTCATTGTATTTGGATTAATTATGGATTTTTTAAATTGGTGTTAGAGATCAAACCCAGGGTTTCATACATACAGCATACATGGTGTACCATTTGGTCACATCCTCAGTTCAGCATACTCAACTGCAGTTGTCACAGAGTGGGGCATGGCAGTAAGCAGAACCTGACCTGCTAGACTGGGTCATTGTCTCAGAACCTCACTCATCTCTGCTGTTTTCACTTGATTCCAAGAATTTTAAGGCATGTCTTTCAAACAGCATGTTTTGTTAAGCACTTATGGGTAAAGATAGCATGCTTGTGGGCGGTAGGGTGTCACAAGATTTTGGGATTGGCCAGGGAGGATACCTAACTACAGCAGAAGGAATGAAAATGTGATTTTGGAGACTGGGCTGAAAAGAATGAAAGAAAGCATAGAAGGTGTGACAAAGGAAATGGCTTATGAACAAAGTAGGGAAGTACAAATGTTTAATTAAATATGGACTGCAGTGGCTCATCAAGTTATTGTAAACATTTTAATGATTGCCTTTTATTGTAGAAGCCTGTTTTTACCTTCTATTCTCTGACTCTGTGGCTGGGTCAGTCCATAACCCCAGTTAAATACTTAGCTTTTGAACTACTCCCCCCAAACAACAAATAGCAGCAAAGCCAACTTATGAGTAGTTATAGTAACTACTCTCCATTATCTTTTGAATCATGTGTACTGTTAATGTTTTCAAGGTAAATATGCTACTTTAAATACAGGAAGAACCTCATTGGCTTACTTTGTATATAAGGCATTAAGACCCTCCTTAGTGCTTTACAGGATAGAACATAATTGGGAAGTCTCTTCCTTGATCTCTGAGCTGAAAAGAAAGTAAAGCTTTTGAATTGGTAATTATTCTCAAAGAGAATGAATAGTGAAAACAGTATGTAGGATCTATATTATAATTATTATTCAACTTTTCTAAGTTTGCTGCCCAGGTGTCTAGCAGACTTTGGTGGTGGCAGGGTGGAATACCAAGCCTTTCTCATATTAAGTAGGCTGTCTAATGAGTTACAAACCCAGCCCTGTTTTGTTTTAAGTGACATGTGAAACTTGATCACTGATTCATAGCTAACTTGAGCTAACTTCCTTTTGTTCATGAGGTTGGCACGAGAAATTCAGGTTTGGGTATGTGTTTATTTGTTTGCTTGTTCATTCATTTATTTGCTTATTTATTTGTTCATTTGTTTGTTTGAGACAGGGTTTCTATGTGTAGCGTTGGCTGTCCTGGAACTTGGCTGGCCTTGAACTGGCCATGTTTGGGTTTTTAAACAGTGAAATTTAGTGTATATGTGTAGTGTTTTTTATAAAACAGTTCTTACATTAATTCTAGAGCTAAACACGAATGGTCATGGCTCAGGTACATAGATTTAGGTTGTCCAAATGTTATGTTCTAGTGTGTATATTGTTTGTCAGGTTTTATAGCTACAGAAAAGTCACAAATGAAACTTTTCATGGTTAGGTGGGTTACAGCAAAGGCTATATATACTGCTGTCTGATGACATTGTTAACTCCTGGATTGGTGAAAGCTAGTGGTCTGATAGTAATGCTTTAACAGATTTTACATGATAATCACAAAGCTCTTAGGTCAGGCACTGGTAGGCAGTGAATGGCTGTTGAGGAGACTGAAGGTAGCCCCAAAGCCCTGGATCTGCAACATCACAACTGTCCACAAGCATTGCATTCTAATCAGTCAGCCTTGGTGACATGGGTGTGACTTTTTCCTGGGAACTTCAGTTCACACTGGTCAGTTGTTTTCTAAGGAAAACAGGAATGCTTCTCACTGCTAAAGAAAGCTATGCAAGGCCAGTTGTGCTATTTGACAGGAAACAGAGAGCTTGCCTAGCAGCTCCAATATTGAACCAGAGAAGTGTTCCACCAATGCTATGATGGAGCATTTTAAGGGAAATGAAGGTAAGGGAATCTAAACATGCCTTTGCTTTCATTGCTTAGTTATCCTTGGTGCCAGAATTGGAATTCTTACAACTCCAACTAATTCTAGGGCTTTAAAATTTTATTTCTGTAGTTTATAAAAAAAACGAGAAGTTCGTATTTTTATTTCCCATTAAGTGAAATTCCAAAGGCATATTGTATCACCTGGATTCAGTGTTGATGCTGACTTACATTTTATTAGGTTGGCAACTCAGGGTCAAGGAACTAAAGATGCTGGGAAAAGAGTAATCCTTGTGAACTTCACTCAGTCTCATCACATCCTCCCCATTGAGTAGAGGAGACCAGGCTAGACCTCATGGAAGCATGGGGCAAACTTGTTCACATGGCTGCAAACATGGATAATGCTGCTTTTGCTTTTCAGTCTCTGGAGTTGTGACAAAGTATCCCAATTAGGTTAGTTGTTTCATTTATTCTTTTTTTTTATTATTTGTTAGGTGCTAGTGCAAGAGGACCTATTAAAAAATCAGTTGTAGTATTTAATTTTATGATGGATGGCTGAGACCTAGTGAAGTAATAAAAGGATTTGTTAGTTATTGTAAGAAATACAGGGCAACAGGACTGCAATGGCTTATCGAGTTATTGTAAATATTTTATGATTGCCTTTTATTATAGTAACCTGTTTTTTACCACCTTTTATTTGACTATGGCTTAGTCAGTCTACAACCCCAGTTAAACACTTGAAGAGTCTTAGTCCCCCCCCAATAAATAATTAAAAGGAAAAAAAAAAACAACTTCTTTCCAATATTTTTGAATCACGTGTATTGTTAATATTTCCAAGGTAAACACACTACTTTACAATACAATTAGAACCCTGTTGGCTTGCACTGTGTGTGTGTGGGGGGTGACAAATGTGACAAATGCCCTCCTGTGACTGGCTCCTTCTGCTAAGGTTTCCTTGTGGATTAAAGGAGGTGATGGGTCTGGTCTCCACTGTGGGAAGAGGGAGGTTCATCCTCCTTGCTGATCCAGGCTCAGGCTCTTTTAGAGAGTTGCTAAGGCATACAGCATGAGGTAACCTGGGGACATGACCATGGACAGTTTGGACATGTCTCTGTCATAAAAACCAATTCCAGTGACTAATACTAAAAATATCTGGCTAGGAAATTTCATTTAAAAGGCTTAAATTATTCTTTGTATTAGCATCTGTGCCTCATATTTAGTACACACATTGATGGTAGTCATCTATTTTACTTTTTCATTAAAGATTAGTATGGTTTTTAAAAGATGAAACTTCATAGAAAGATTGTTTCCTCTAGAGACTGTGTTAACTTACTTTTTGTTATTAATATAATATTAAAATTCAGTGTTGTCTCCTGGTGAGCAAGCAGTTATATTAGAGGTGGTGCTCTGGGTACAATTACTAACTACACACTTAGACTCTGATTTTAAAGTCACAGTAAGGACTGTGTTAACTGAAGTAAACAGTGTGCCAGAGACTCCCAGGTTACTTCAGAGGTCAGATAATGTCAGCGACAAGTTTTGGTTTTGTCTGGCCAAACTTAATTGTCATACCAAGTTAAATAAAAGCTTCCTTTTAAATGTATAGGTCCCCCCTCCCTATGTGTGTTCTCAGGATTGGGGGGGGGCATGTTAAATCATCCACTAAAAGATTGCTGAATTTTAAAATGAGTAAAATCTTAAATGTGTACATACCGCCACCAAGTGGGAGAGAACAGCATTGCTTGTCAGTTGAGATGCTGAAAAAGAGAAAGAAAAAGAAAGACCACATTATTTCTCAGGATTCATTTTATAGCAGTCCTTAAAAGTCAGTTTCAAACACAGAAATACACCTTAATTTTTCTTTGGTTAACTATTTGGGTGTTTATTCCACACTTCCTTCAATTCCTTTATCTTCATTTGTGTATATTTTTATATTTCATCTGATTATTTCTTCTGAACTAAAGTTTTGGTTAATTTACTTTTAGGAGTGACAGTTTCGGGACATTAAAGCTATGATTTCATCTGCATCTTAAAAAATAATTGTTTCAATTCTGATGAATTTATTTTCTTAGTTATTTTGGATAATTCTGGTGGCTATAAAAAATAAACAGGACGTTTCTAAAAGAAAAGAAAAATAAGCAGGGCTATTGAAGAGCCTTCATTTTTCTTATATTTATTGTATGCTTGAAAGACTTTCAAGGTAGAATCTTGATCAGTGGTTTGTGCTTTGTTGTTTTGGGGGTTGTTTTGTTTTGAGACAGGGTCTGGCCCCCTATAGCCAGTGCTGTTCTGGAACTCACTACATAGTCCTGGCTGGCCTTGAACTCAATAGATCTGCCTGCCTCTGCCTATGAGTGCTTGGATTTAAGGTTTAGACCACTATTTTAGTCAACGTTCCATTGCTGTGAAGAGACACCATGACAACAGCAACTCTTATGAAGATAAGCATTTAATTGGGACTGATTTACAGTTCTAAATTTTAATCCATTGTCATGGCATCATGCAGATGGACTTGGTGCTGGAGGAGCTGAGAGTTCTACTTTTCTGTTTCGTTTTTTGAGACAGGGTTTCTCTGTGTAACAGTCCTGGCATCCACTTTATAGACCAGACTGGCCTCAAACTCACAGGAGTATTACATCTTGATCCATAGGCAGCACAGAAAAAGAGACTGTGTGCCATGCTGGGAATAGTTTGAGCATATGAAACCTCAAAGCTACCCCCACAATGAGTGGCACACTACCTCCAATAAGACCACATCTCCTAATAATGCCAGTCTCTATGGACCAAGCATTCAGACACATGAGTCTGTGGTGGACATTCCTATTCAAACCACCACAGCCACAATGCCTGGTTTTGATTAGTGTTTTACATAAAGAATTTTAGTCTGAGTAATTTTGTTTTATTTGTTGTTGCTGTTGTTTTTTGTTTCTCTGTATAGCCCTGCCTGTCCTGGAACTCACTTTGTAGATCAGGCTGGCCTCAAAGTCACAGAGATACACCTGCCTCTGCCTGTCATGTTCTGGGTGCCCAGCCTGTTTGGCTAATTTTATGCCATTGTTTCCCGTATTTTGTTGCAGCACTCCTATGTGTACCTAAAACATTCATTCCTTTATCTTTTTTGTGACGATTCATAAAATTTGACTACTACATTTGGTATATTCTCTAAAAGCATAGTCATTTAAATTTGATAGTATCAACTCACCAAGGAGTTTTTAATAATAAGTGTTCAATAAGATTACTAACATGGGATGAAGTTCCTGAAAGTGCATTAGCCTAGGTATTTGAGATGTGTCAACCTATGCATTTGGTGGCCAGTGCCATTCAAGACCTGAAAGATCCCTGGTATAGACATAACTCAAACAATCCTAAAACATGCCCAGCCGTTATTGACATCCCTCCAGACTTGAAGCCCAGCAGCAGTACCTTGGTTGTGTGACCTTGATATCTGTGTTCTCAAGTGTGAGCATGGAGGCATATGACTCTTTGTTTTGTATTGGTTAGAAACACCACAGGGCTCCCTGCTGTGCTCCATCCACAGTGTTAACTCACCAGGACCCACTTGGTCTACTCAACCTTTTTTGCTCAAGGCTTCCTCTCTCCGGTTGATCCTCTTCTTCTAGCCAGCCACTGCTTCTGTATTTCTCCATCTTTAGATGCTGCAGAGTTACCTCCCTAGGGTGTTTCATTATTCTACGTACTTACTGCTAGCTAACAGTCTCTATTTTTATTTTTTTTCTTTCCTTGTCTCTCTCCTATTAGAGTGTAAATTCCACAATGATAGGAACTTCGTTTGATTTTATTTTTATGACTATATTCCTGGTACCTGGAGGAAATATTAAGTAATTGGAGAACTAATAGATACTGAATAATCTCAGCTCAATTCTTGTAGGTTACATATGTCAGTTACTTGGAAAGTCATCTGATTAGGGTTGACAAAAGGTGCCAGTACATTTGGAGGCTGTTCATTACATACTGATTTGCTCAAGAGGAAGCAAACTGCTCTCCCCCATCCTCCCCCCACAGACCTGAAACTGTATGCATAGGCACTTACTTTCTTTTCTTTATTTTGTGTTTCGGTTTTGATTTTAGTTTTGGGTTTGGTTTTTGTTTAAGACAGGGTCTCACTATATAGTTCAAGTTGTTCTGGAACTCGATATGTGGATAGACCAGGCTGGCCTTGAATTCACAAAGATCTGCTGGTCTCTGCCTCCTGGGTGCTGGGATTAAAGGCATGTGCCACTATGCCTGCCCAGCAACACAATTTATTTTCTTTAGTCTGGGTTTTAGGTAAAATTTGATGTCCAGTATCAATTGACTGACTGGAAGACACCACTGGCCAGTGAGGCCCACGTGCTGCTAGTTCAGTAGCTTGTGTAGGTGCATGTATTCACATGCTTTCTTATAACTGGAGCTTGGCACCTGTAGTTGATTTTTGTTACAGTTAGGCTGTTTTGATTATATTGAGATTAGTAAAATCAGACACTTTTTCTATATTTGGAACAGCAAAAAGTGAGAATTACCATGAGGGTCTTTCTTCCTTCCTTCCTTTCTTTCTTTCTTTCTTTCTTTCTTTCTTTCTTTCTTTCTTTCTTTCTTTCTTTCTTTCTTTCATTAAGAAATAGGAGAAGGAAGCTAGTTATTTAGGTAAAAGCTATTTCCTGCCTCTTAATCATATAACTTCATTCATTTATGCTATTTGCATAACTACTGTAGTCATTTGAGTTTTCAGACCCCTTAAAGAGACAGGACACAAACATTTTAAGGTATGCAACATGTCAATGGTATCATTAGGCAAAAGTACATTACATATCATTGGGCAAGTACATTATGTTCTACATAAAGAATGAATTCATAGTTTGAACTCTGCTTTTTGATGGATAGGTTAAAACAGTCATTTTACATGGAGAGAACTTGGGAAGTCGTGTCTTTTGGCACACAACAACACAAATCTGGTAGTAGTCATGGGCCGAAAGAACACAGTGTATTGTTCTTTTGGCCCAGGATGTTTCTCAGTTTGCATTCCAGGTGTTCAGGGGCTAAGATGAATAAAAAAACATGGACTCATTCATTGTAGAGCTCATATCAAGTAGCCTATTTTCTTTTTCCTGAGTTGCCTCACTTGAGGTATTGCTTTAATGCTGTTTTCCAGGTGAATTGACAAATAAAATTAAATATAATATACTGAGAATAGCATTAAATTAATGATGCTGTTATCTTGACTTGAACTTAATTGCTAATCACAGATTCTGTGGTGATCTATTGTGTTTTGTGTTTTGCATTTGCCAAATTCCAATATAGTAGCTCAAAGGTTTGAGCTGTGAGAATTCAAAGGAAAGCTGCTCGAAGGAGGACTAATCTAACTGAAGATGTAATGCTCAGATTATATTAGAATAGATAAGAAAGTCTTTATTTCAGTCTTTGACACGATGATTCACTTTATTAGTAACAAACTTAGCACACTGAAGTATGATTTTGAACTCACATATTCAAAAAATGAAGCATGATCTTGAATTTAATTGTTTTTCCTGGCACTCCCCACCCCTCTTTTTTACAGATTTTTTTGCCCTCCTCCTTGTGTATATCTTATGGGCAGTGGTTGGAAGAAAAAAAAAGAACAAATGGAACGAGATGGTTGTTCGGAACAAGAGTCTCAACCCTGTGCATTTATTGGAATAGGAAATAGTGATCAAGAAATGCAACAGCTGAACTTGGAAGGGAAGGTAAATTTAAAACGTATATTCTGCATTCATTTTTGCAGAATTTATTTAGTTTTTCCCCATCAGTGTTTATTGTTTTTTTTAAAGTACTTTTAGTAACAGTTGTTTAAATGTGTATATCAGAATCAAAAGTGTCCTTGCAGGACAGCTGTGTCTGGTGACTCATGGAGTGTGTATTAGCATCTAAAGGCAGCACCGGGATGCTTTTCCACCTTCTTGACTGCCTTATCTGTAAGGGAAATTTCACTGGATGCTAATAGTTTAGGAAACAAGTCTCTCATCTTCTGTCTGGCAGGATTGTGATACTCAGATACTAGTGAAAATACATTCCTCAGCTTTGGTTTGCTCTATCCTCTTAATTAATCTTCATCCCTTGCTGTGAAGTGACTGCTGACACAAGAACATGGATCTGGGTATAGTATAGTAGTGACCCTTGTCTAGCCAGCACAACACCAGTTAGAACACAGGTTACTCAGAGAACAGTCTTTGCTGACAGTTTTGTGAACATAGAAAGCAGTAACAGTCAATATACAACTTTAATTCAGGAAAGTGGTTTGTTCATTTATTATACTTCCTAATGATCACTATTTTCCCTTAATATTGATATTTAGAAACAGGTTCTGATCTCAGTGACTACCTAATTTTTTAAGTAGCATAAAGCTGTTTCCTTATGTAGTAACTCTTTGTTGGCTAGCTTCGTGTTTATGTTTTGTATGACACTAGGATAGGATGACCTACAATATTGAGGATGGTGAGCTAGTAATTAGCATTCTTAATTACATTTAGTCATGTTCAGAGAGTACTAAGAAGCCATAAAGCTAGTCTTCATATCTGATGATTTATATGCCATTATGTTTCTATAGTCAGTAAGATATGTTGACCACGGATTTAAATTAGGTTTGGTATAATGTTTATTACAATAGTGAAAACTTATTATAAAATAAAATAGAGCAGTAAAACCATTTTAAATTAAGACTGTTGGGCTTAAAAAGTATTCTACAGAGGGTTTGATCTATTCTTCTGTTGTTATTTCTCTAGTTACTACAGCATACCCTACCCCTAGATATTCTATTCTTTAATGAGTAGATAAGTAGGTAGTAAAAAGCCAAGGATCTGACTACCAGTTTGTGTAACTATGCTGATTGAACTTCATTCTTATTTTAACTAGTTCTAGCTTTCAGTCATTTTACCTCCCAGCAAGATAATACTAAAGAACCAATCAACCTACCAACCAATAGCATCATTGATTGTCTCTCCTGAGATACTGGTACTATGCTCTTTGGGGGCTGCCTCAGCATGAACTTCTATCTGCCTTATGTTAGACCTTGTTACACAAGTCCTGGACATTGGTGAGATGCAAGCACACGTGTGCATGTGAGGGGGTAAAGGACTACTCAAAGGAGTCAGTCGTCTGTTCTCTCCTACCTTGTAGGACCCAGGGGTGATCTTAAGGCTTGGCCTTTACTCACTGAGCAGTCTCACCAGCTTATGCTCACCTGTTTTATATATGCTAGACAGTATCTTCTCTTTCTTGATGCAAATCATACCCAGTTATGTTAGCACTCAGAACTAAGTGATCCTTTTCTTTGGGCTTTCCCACTAGGATGATGCAGTTCCCTTGTTTAGATACACTGTTCATTTTTCTTCTGTGACTACCTGCTTTGATACATTGACTTTATCAGAACAGTTCTAAATTTGATCTTTAACTAGTATTTAAAAAAATACGGCTTATGTATAAATTCAGAGATGGCATATCTCAGTATATAAAAGAACCACTGCAAAGGGCTATTGTATTTTGCTTTTATTACTGTTGTCTTATTTTGCCTTTTACATGGCAAGACCTTTCAAAATTTAGAATATTCAGGAACACATTAAAATTTTCTCATGTAACTGTGTTATAGAGACAAACTTGCAGTATTTTTATCTGCTACTAGTAGTACATATTAGTAAATTTTAAGGATAAGAGCCTAGAATTCACTAAGTACTTATTGGTAAGTAGTACTCATATTAACAGGCACACATTTTAAAAGGAGCACACAGTAGTAGCTGAAATAAATTTTGGACATTGTTTGCCCTGTTTGGTAAAGGAGGTCAGTATTTTGGCCCAGGCCCCCACAGTTCACAGTGATCAGGACCAATACATACAAGTGAAACAGTAGCATTTCAAAGTGTTGCTGCTTTTTGGCAAGTGAGTGTTTTCTCTTGTATCTTTAAACTTTGTTCTTTTGGTGATAGTATGATAAACCAAGTTTATCCGTTTTAGAAATAGTTCTTTAGTATATTCTTGAAGATACCTAAGATGTTTCATGGTCCCATTCACTCTCACACTGTAACCACAGCATTCAACCATATAAAGAGAAACATTATGTGAGCTAGTGTGAAAACTGCAAACAAAAGCTTTTTATACAATTCTACTAAATTTTGATAGTCTTATTACTTTTGTTGTAGATAATCATCAGTTGTTTTTAAGTGCAAAAGTCAAATAATAGCTATAACGTTGAATGTTGATTCTGTGAAATATGTAAAGCTATATAGAACAAAGAATTTAAGGAGAGTAGATATGGATCATAGGCTTTCTTTTTTTAAGGGTAAATGTTGTCGTCATTTTTGTATATAACTAAAACTTGAGGTATTCAAATTAATGCCTTGTAGATACCTGGAAGAGTCTCGGACTGTTTCATGTTCTGCTGCTCTTGGTCCAGATGGAGCTGTAGGAGCTAACCATATCCATCCCATGGATCCTGATCCACAGGCACACTTGGGAAGACCAAGTCCTCAAGCACAGCTGTCAGAACTTAGTTCCTAGATGTTTGTTTTATTTTTTGTACAGCCTTTTTGGAGTTGACTTAGGCAGTGCTTTCCTCTGCTTCCTGTACTAAGTGGACTTGAATAAGTTTGAGGAACTGGAATGATAGATGTAATAGTTTCTTAACCATCCTGAGGACAGCTTTGTTAATGGCTGTAATATTCAGCTCCCACAGCTGAACACTGAGATTCATTCACATCTTCTCCATCTCGAGAAGAGTCTAGGAGCTGCTGGCTCAAGTCCAGCTTTTTGGACTAAGCTCAACTCTTCTTGGCACCTAAACTGAGTTTGGTCTTTCCTTACTGAACCTTATCTTCAGAAGAGGCTCACTTTCCGTCATTCCTTCCCCAACATTTGTTTTGAAAACTTCTTAAAGATTCTCTTTAGAGAGCAACGTAAACAGCCATTGGGTGATCCATCAGAGTGATATCATTCGTGCCGGGTCAGATGTAGCCACACCGTTCTGAGCAGATGGTGCATAACCTCAAGGGTTTACTGCTATTAACACCACTTTGCTTTTCTTTCACAGAACTACTGTACAGCCAAAACATTGTACATATCTGATTCAGACAAGCGAAAGCACTTCATGTTGTCTGTAAAGATGTTCTATGGCAACAGCGATGATATTGGCGTGTTCCTCAGCAAGCGGATAAAAGTTATCTCCAAACCTTCCAAAAAGAAGCAGTCATTGAAAAATGCTGACTGTATGTATGCTCAAGTTTCCTTATTTGTTCCCAATTATCACATTACATACATTAATGAGACAAACTTTTTAAAACTTAAATTCATTGTTTACTACTATTTTTTTCTTTTGTGCCCTTACTGTGCTTTAAATTTAAGTGTAAATAAGCAGTGTCTGGCTTAATGAAGTGATTCATTCTCAGTTAGTGTCCTGAGAATCTGTTACTTCATTAGGATTACCTCAGAGTGGTTTCTTACTATCCCAGGGAAATGGAGGGAATTTTCTCCTTTTGTCTCATTGACTGGGAAGGAAGATAAATGTTAAGTACCTGATGCTGTGGGCTAGTGATAATAAATGTCCTACAGTGCCCAAGGTAGTTCCCATTCCAAAAGAGTCTATCCTTCCAGAATGGCAGAAGTACCCATTTCCGAAAACATCATAGTTTGGAAAGCCAGGTAAGGCACTAAACCAAATGTCTAAAGGTCTCTGCTGCAGGAGCTGCTATCTCATTGGCAGATTGTTAAACTACCAAGGCTGTCTGAGTACTGTCTGTAAGTCTACATTTCAACACATTTGAAATTGCTTGGCTGACTTTCAAGTTTTTTGTTGTACAAACTTTTAAATTTATATAAAAGGGAGAAATTAGCATGATGCAGCAATCTCCCCAACCTTAGTAATTTCACTAATTCTGTTTTGTGGCCCTTACCAACAGCACCTCTTCCCTGTCTAACTGCTGAAATATTTTGATGTAAATCTTCAACATCCTAATCTTTCAGCTAACATTTCCTGCACTACTGACTCTTAATGCATGGCTTTTTTTTTTTTCTTTTTCTTTTTTTTTTTTTTTTTGCACCACACCTCACAAAGTTGACAGCCCTTTAATGTCATTTAGTATTCCATGAGTAGATTAGTCATAGTGTCTTGACATTTTTTTTATATAGTTTGTTGTTATGTTTTGTTCCATTTATAGTTGGCTTGTTCAAACATAGAATTAAGTAAGGCCCATAACTTTTAGTCTGTGATAGTTTTTCTATTCTCTCCTTACCTGCTTTGATATGTTACTTATTGAAGAAACTGGGTCATTTTGGAATTTTTATACTCTGGCTTTGACTCATCCCTTGTTCTTTTGCCTTAGTTTTTCTTTGGCCTGGTGATTAAAGACTTTTAAAATTAGCTGGCTTTTAAAATTCTCACTGGCTTAGAAATCACAGAGTATCTGGTTACCACCTCCTTTTTTGTCACATTAAGACTGTAGTAAGTTCAGCAGTTTGTTTAATTTCCTCCTAAGGCTCCTGAGAAACCTGGAAACCAGTGGTTTAGTGACCTTTACTTCATCGAGGTACACAAATTACTGATTTTCTAATTCTTTTATATAACTTCCACATACTTAGATGTGTTTTACTCCATGCAGTCTTTATTCCTATCAGTTATTTAATATGGAAAATTCCATACACACTGATGCAAACAGAATTACATAATGAATGGAAATCCTAACTTGAATAGTGACCTTAATTTCAGGCCAGTCTTATTTCATCATAATTAATTCTTCTGGTTCAGTCTGCTTTCCTCTTACTTATTTGTAGTTTGATGTAATTTCAGACGTTTGCTTCATATACAAATATTGTATAGCTACAACAGATAAAATTTCTTATTTTAATAGTATAATACCATGATTATAATAAAACATGCAAAGCAAGCATAAGCAGAAATGCTTCTAATGTTCTGTCAGTGTTCAAATTTTGAATAGTCTAAAATAATTGAATTTTTAACCAAGTGAGTCAAAATTGAAATTCACTGAATGTTACAATATATAGGTAACACTGACATCTACGTGGGTATTCTTAATCTATGTTCCCATGCAGTTTACCTGAGGCATTAGGAATGTATGCATTCAGATTTGTTAAGTTAATTCTTTTGGTGTAGTTCAATGGTAATGTTTAGAAGAAAGAGCTGACACAGTGAGCAGTGGAAAGACAGACTTCATTTAGTACTGTTTCAGGAAAAGAGGCATGTTCACTTTCATATAACAAAGACAAGTTCCAGTTTTCAGCCAAGGAGGAAAATGAGGGGCCCAGTGGATAGTTAAAAAAAAAAAAACAAGGACGGGAGTTTTTGCTAAACCAACTTAACAGGAGTCCTGACAGTAACTGCCGGAGTGATTCCTGTATCAAGGGAAGTGCCTGACAGACTTGCTACAGCCAGACTTAGAAGGTGGTGATGGGGTCCCAGGTGAAAACTGATAGAAAGGAATGCTGGGAGGAGACCCTCTCAAGTTTGTTCAGGAGGGCATGTTTGTCGTGGTCAGATTTAAGCTTGTTCTTTCTTTGTTTTGGTAAGTCCTCATTGATGGCCATATGCTCTTGTACACCAGGTCATATCTGACATCTTGTCTTGTATTCAGGCAGTTTCCAGTTCAGATTGCAGAGGGCTGAGGTTTTAGTTTGGGGCGGGTATTTTTGTTTTTAACTTTGTTAATTATGTGTTTGCATTGGTAGTTTTGTAATGAAAAGAGTATACTCCACTTCTAGAATATTTTCTTAAGTGGATGTGCTTTTCACATCTAAAAGTACATCTTTATTTTTAAATTTTACAAATTATAAAACAGGTATTGTTTTTCATGCAGTACACTTTATGGTATTTGGGAGATTGCAGAATTCCCTAAAATCATAGTGCAGTGGTGTCCGGTTTGGTAAACGTTTTTCTAGAGACCTTTCTACACATATTTTACAGGGTTTGATGGAAGCATGTAGAGGTGCTCCTGTGCTCCCACAGAAATGTGTATGTTGCTTCTTAGTAGGACCATAGTGTATAGAGTGTCTCATAATTGGCCTTTTCATTCAGTAATATTCCAGGAATTGATGTAGACATAATTGAAATAGGTGAATGTTACTGTAATCAATTTAACCAAGTGTCTACCATTAGACATTTGTTTTTAAAATAATTTTCCAGCTAATAATTGTCACTGCATTAAGTGCATTGTGTAATGCTTTCTGAGATGTTGACAGCTGAGTGAAAGGTACAAGATGATTCTTTGCATTATTATTTTTTTTTTACTTCTGCTTTTTGTAAATCCAATACTAAATTAAAAGTGAAATTAATTAAAGTAGACGGCAGTGATGGCTAAACACAGTACTCAGGAGGCAGAGGCAGGTAATCTCCTGAGTCTGAGGTTAACCTGGTCTACAGAGCAAGTTCCAGGGCAGACAGGGCTGCAGGAGAAACCCTGTCTTGAAAAATCAAACAAAACAAAGAACTGAAACTAGTTTTAAAAAACAATAAAAAAACCAATCATTTAAAATCTTTTTATGTCATTATCTTGATAAGATTGTGAAGACATAGACCTTGCTTTCTTTTTTGCTATCTCCTGTCTTAGAAGGCTAAATAAATTGTTTGCTACCAGAATCTGTTCATTATTTGTATTATTATAAAAATATTCATAATTTTCCAAGAAGAAATCCTTTCTTTTGTTAACCTCTGCCTCAGTCAAATAAATAAGAATCCTCTTGTCATTGCAGTGTGCATTGCCTCAGGAACAAAGGTGGCTTTGTTTAATCGACTTCGATCCCAGACAGTTAGTACGAGATACCTGCATGTAGAAGGAGGAAATTTCCACGCTAGTTCACAACAATGGGGAGCATTTTATATTCATCTCTGTGAGTATAAACATGTACATTTGATATTTTCCGTGTGAAAATAACATTCTCTTTATGGAGATAAATAGAGTCATTTTGTTGTTTTCTTAAGCATATACTAAATTTTAAAAGATGGCGGTTTTGTCTGTTTTGCACCCACTATAGTGGATGATGATGAATCAGAAGGAGAGGAATTCACAGTTCGAGATGGTTACATCCACTATGGACAGACTGTTAAACTTGTTTGCTCAGTTACTGGCATGGCACTCCCAAGATTGGTAAGACTTGGCTATGTGAGATAGAAACAACCAGGAGAGATAGAAAAATGTAGTTCAGTTTTTATACTTTCAGATGTGAAAATGCAATGTCCCAATTATCCCGTTAGCCATTGCCTCAATTCATAAGGGCCCTTAAAGAATTAGTCTGCTATGAGTGCATTGGTCAGTCTCTTATGCCATTTTTAATGAATTTGGTGTTAGTTCCCTTTTTGATTGTGTATCTGTTATTGTTTTCTTTAATGTTGCAGGTATACTGTATACTGTGTGTGTTACCTGCTGTATTTGAATGAAGGACCAGGTTTCAAAAGCCTAGATATATACACACATAATTTTTATTAGGCTACTTGACTGAAACATTTGTTTAAAATTCGGTAGAGTTTATATTTCTTGCTTTAGGAACAATGCACAGGATTTGGACGTTTTTGTTCATTAGGTTGTAAAACTATAAAGACACTATTTTTCCCCTTAAGTTAAAAACATTCCAAAATTCTGCTTTCCAGATCTGTAAGTTTAAGATGCATATTAAATGTCATAAGTGGGAATGTTGACTAGGTGTGACATGTGTAATGGCACTATGAAAAGTTTGTTAGAGTAGATGTGACTCTAGGAAGAATGTCCAAATCAGGTGCTTCAGAGGCTGTGAAGTACTATGAAGAAATGCATGAGGATCACCTGTGTGGAGGTTCTTGGTGGCCTTGGTAAATAGTTAACAAAGGAAACTTTGAGACAGAAGGTTATAGAACAGTGGTTCTGAGTTTGTGTGTTGTGGCCTCTTTGGGGGTTGCATATCAGATGTTTACATTACAATTTGTAACAGTATCAGAATTAGAGTTATGAAGTAGCAATGAATTAATTTTATGATTAGAGGGCACCACAATGTGAGGAACTATATTAAAGGGTCTCAGTATTAGGGTCTTGAGTACCGCTGTTATGGAGGTTTCAGGAGACGGGACTGTGAGGACGATATCTTTCTTTCCCAAGGAGCACTGAGAAACAGGCTTAGGGAGAGGGAAGGAAGGGCATGCTGAAGGAACAAGCTTACTGCATTTATAAGTATTTATAATGTGTTTGTATGCTGTTGGGAACAAGCAGTAGTTTCTCTCCATGGAACTTAGTGACTACCTCTTGTGCCTTGTGTCATTTAAAATTTGCTAGCACAGTCTTTAATGTGCACACATGGGTTATATAGACTACCCACCCCATAGATCATCGAGTGGCTTTGTCATGGTGGGGGGTGGTCACCTAAGACCATCAGAAAACACAGTATTTACATTATGATTCATAGCAGTAGCAAAGTGACAGTTATGAAATAGCAATGATAATAATTTTATGGCTGGGGGTCAGGTAACCACAATGCTAGGAACTATGTTGAGAAGCGCTGATCTGGTAGCTTACTGTAGATGTTTCCTTGTGGTATTACATTTATATAATATTGAAAAGATCACCAGAACCTGATAGTGGAAATCCATGTATCCATTAGCAGCATTCACAGCACTAGTGTGTTACAAGTACAGAATACTGGGCCCCAAGTGAGTCATGCTGTGTTAGATATCTTTAGTCAGTTACTCCAGACAATTTATGTATATATGTATGAATGTTTTAAAAGCACTAATCTAAACAACAAATGTCCGCTTTCCTTATTTCTTAATGTGTTCTTTGAAGGGGTTATTTCCACATTTAATAAACTTAATATGCTTATAAAATTTTTAATGACCTTTTATTCCTAACCTTATTGCTTATAAATGTTTAATATGTAGGTATAAGGCAAGTGACTGATACATTGTTATGTAGTATATTCTATGGACTGTGACAATGTATAAAATAAAAACTGCATGTGGATGACTTTTTTAAATTGTTGGAATACAGATAATTAGGAAAGTTGATAAGCAGACAGCATTACTGGATGCAGACGACCCTGTATCACAACTCCACAAATGTGCATTTTACCTAAAGGATACAGAAAGAATGTACTTGTGCCTTTCTCAAGAAAGAATAATCCAATTTCAGGTATGTTATAAAATGATTGGTGAAATCCAAGCTATACAAAATAGGGCTGGGGTGCTGCTCAGTGACAAATGCCTGCCCAGCACTGTGTTCAACCCCAGTGGTGCAGATCAGTAATGGCTGGATGAAATGTGCTGGAAAACTATTGGATTAGCCATTTACAGAGACATACTTCTTACTGACTGTCAATTATATCCACGTACAAGAAGCTGGGTCCATATGTTTATCTTAGGTCATTGGTCCTTAACACACACACTACTCCACACACACTTGTGAACCTCTAAATGACTCAAAAGTAAGAGAACATTTTTAGAGAAGATTTTTTTTATAAGTTCCAGGATTCTTAATCTGGCATTCAGAGAACCCCAGAATGTCTTAATAGTAGAACACTGGTGTTCAGTGGCTCCTCTAAAATGACGTATAGAAGAAACATATACATTGTGCATTCGGCAAGAGGGTTCAAATCTTCATCTTTACAGTGGGGCCACCCATTAGTAACACTGACAAGGTTTAAGTGCTAATATTCAATAACATTTGCTCACAAACTTTCAAGAGGACACTTAGGACATGAATTGATGCCATAGGATAGCTGCGGTTTCATGCTGGAGCCTTTGCACCACTGTTGCAGAGGCGTGACTCCATACTGCACTCATGGGAATACTGAGTCCCGGGCCAGGGTTTGGAACCGCTAGTTCACACAGACTTTGTTTCTTCCTGCTGGAAGTGCCGTAGCTCCTAATAGTTCCCCCTTTCTTTGGGAGTCCACTTGCATTTTGTGTCACAGGTACTGATCTATTAGTGAAATTATATAATAGTGAACCACATGGTGATGGTGCATGCCTTTAATCCCAGCACTTGGGAGGCAGAAGCAGGTGGATCTTGGAGTTCGAGGCCAGCCTCATACACAGAGGGAGATTTCTAGGACAGCAAGGGCTACCTAGTGAAACCCTGTCTTGAAAAACAAAACCAAAAAAAAGGAAAAAGAAAAAAATTATATAGTAATGGGAAACTCTTGAGTGAGTGATTGCTAAGAGGTATGACTCATTACTTAATGTATCACTGAAGTGTTGGTGGTCTAACAAAAACTACTTCCTGTGGGGCTTCATGTTAACATTCTATAGTCATGTAGGGATTAAGTGTATTAGGATGTTCCCAGATGTTATTTCTCTAAATTTTCTCCTTGTTAACTCAAGTCTGAATGTTACTTGATAAATTCTCTTATACTGCTGTGTATATAAAACTCATTATGTGAACGTTTTTTTATCTTAAGGCCACTCCATGTCCGAAAGAACCAAATAAAGAAATGATAAATGATGGAGCTTCCTGGACAATCATTAGCACAGATAAGGCAGAGTATACATTCTATGAGGGAATGGGCCCTGTCCTTGCCCCAGTCACTCCTGTGCCTGTCGTAGAAAGCCTTCAGGTGAGACCACTTAGTCACAAGGTGGCTTTTTAGCATTTACTGCTGTTATTATCTATAACCTGCCATAAACTTACTTCGCTATGGTACTGATTTTTCTGTAAGTGTTATGATTTTGGGGTCTTACTGCATATATTATTGATAGGAAATAAAAACATGATTATATGGAAGAAAGTTTAAATGACAGTGGATGTTATCTTGAAATAGCTTCAGCTAGCTTTGAAGTTGTGTCATTCAACAGAAATGTTCTATAAATCTGAACTTATATTAACCTTCATGAAAATGAAAGCAAGTATAACCCAATCTGTGTTCTTCAGTAGAGAGTGAAAAACTGTCTCAATATTGTGGTTCTCTGAATTGCAGTTGAATGGCGGCGGGGATGTAGCGATGCTTGAACTTACAGGACAGAATTTTACTCCAAATTTACGAGTATGGTTTGGGGATGTGGAAGCGGAAACAATGTACAGGTACTGACAGAAGCTGCTCTGTCTCCCAGGGGAGGGGAGGGGAGGGGAGGGTATAGTTGATGCAGAACTGTGCTTTGCTTTGAAAATGCTTCTGTCTAAGCGGCGTGTGTTTCCTCCTCAGATGTGGAGAGAGCATGCTCTGTGTGGTCCCAGACATTTCTGCATTCCGAGAAGGCTGGAGATGGGTCCGGCAGCCAGTCCAGGTTCCAGTAACTTTGGTCCGAAATGATGGAATCATTTATTCCACCAGCCTTACCTTTACCTACACACCAGAACCAGGGCCGAGGCCACACTGCAGCGCAGCAGGAGCAATCCTCAGAGCCAACTCAAGCCAAGTGCCCAGCAACGAATCAAACACAAACAGCGAGGGAAGTTACACAAACGCCAGCACAAATTCTACCAGTGTCACATCATCCACAGCAACTGTGGTGTCCTAACTACCGTCTTTTTGCTAGGACTTAAACTGACTTGAATGCGGCAAAAAGTTGACAAAAAAGGAAAAAAAAAGGCAAGGATAAAATGAACAATCTTTTGTGGTTTCTTGGGAAAACTTTTCATACCAGGTGATCTATTCAGAACCCCATTACCTGCAAGTGCTGATGTGAAACACAGAAGCCGCAGTAAAACGAAAAACATCCAAATGTACAAACCGTTGGAAATCAAGGTTTTCAGCTGTCTGTCTCCCTCACTCACACCCCTTTCTGGTTGGCTTTTGTTTGGTGTTGATTAAATGGTCAAGAAGTAGATATGTGGCTGGAGTACAGGTTAAACTAGAAGACACAAATCTAACCTAGTTTGTATGGACCAAGGGACTTGCGAAAGTAAGCTTTAGGAAAAGGTACATTTTCACCCTGCCTATTTTGTATCACAGTATGTAGTACACCTTGTTACCAGTAGGTTGCACTCTCCACCCCTTTTGAGCTTTGGCTCTGAAGTACATTCAGGTTCAAGCCTGACCATGCTTGTTCAATCTGAGTACTGAACACTTCCAGGTTCTTTTGGTCTAAGGCTGGAACTTTTTTTTAAGCTGAAGTCTTATGACTTTTTCATAAGTTGGAATTATTTTGATTTCAGCAAGTCAAGTTTTGTAAAGGCCTGCATATTTTTTTTAAGATTATATGAAGTCTGTGCAAAAGCTTTAAAAAAATGCCTCTGCCTTGCCTGCAATACATGCAATGTATGTTAATTTAGTCTATTCTCAGATACTGTTAGTAGTTATTTCTGTTTTCTTTTTTTTTTTTTAATGTATTTATAGTGGTAATCCAAGAGATTCTAACATTTACGTGGAGTTCAGTGTGGCCATTTAGTCATTTGTGAGTCAATGGCCCAGAACATCACCATTTGAAGGTTTGCGCTTCTTTGCCTGTTCGTCAGTTTGTCTGTGTTCCAGGGTTTGTTCAGGTTTCCTTCCCCCCCAAATCTTGTACATAACTTGTATTATGTGTAAGTTAAACATTTTATCTTTAACTTGGAATGTTCCCAGTGATTACATTTAACAGGGTGTTTCCCACCTTGTTGACAAATGACAAAAAAAAAAAAAATATCATGAAAATATTTGCTGCCAAGATGGTGCCCTTAGGGTAAAATGAGGAAAGTCTCTGCAAGAAAAATGATCTATTGTACTTCATTTTCCTTTTTTTAGCCTAGGCCAGAACATCATTATAATTCTAAATATAAGATCACAAGATGGCTTTTTTTAGATGATAACTAAGTAAAATAGCCAGAAGACAGTATGTTAGAAACAGATAGTTGTAAGTTTATAAAAATACAAATATAACTTATATTTTCATTTCCCCTTTTGCCCTTTGTTTGTTTTTCCCCGGTAGAAATGTCCTGTCCAAATTTTTTCTTCTTTTCTCTTAAACTTTGGTTGCATTTGGGCTTGTGTGTTAGCCTTGTGTGCTAATATTGCCAGTTTTATTTTGTTTCCATTCCTGCACTTTGTTACCTTGTTCAGTTTCTTGGGAATTGCAGCAGACTCACTGGGCTACATTTAGTACAGGAAGCACATGTGATGTTAAAGGGCACAGTCTAGTGATACCATCCTCCTTGTAGAGTAAAAACTACCTCTAGATTGTGGTAAGCTTTTACTGTCCCTTCAGACAGGAGCCACAAGCACCCTCTGATGCAAACTGTAATTTGTACAGCATTTTCGGTGTCTTTCTGGCTCCCTGGACCTCTGAAAGTTTTCATGTAGACTTGTTAAGAATCCTTTGTCAGGAGCATTGTTTCCCATCTTTGCTGATTTGTCTTGTCACTCACCATTTCCTGGAGACTGTGCCACTGTAAATGCCACTCTGAACATCTATCTGCAAACTGCCCCCTCCTTGGTGTTTCAAGGGGGAGGCCATCTGTAAAACGTGTGCTGGTTAAATCGGTTGCTGCAGCTTTCTCTTAATGCCAGCCTTCATAACCACCCCAGGATGCACTGTACTAGCTGTTGCAGCCATTTCTCCTCGGATAGGCTGCAGACAGTCTCCTCCCCCGCCTCACACCTTCATTCTGCTTCAGTGGTCAAGGGCAGAGCTCACTGTGGCCTTACCTGTCTTTGCAGTAAACTGTTCTTGGCTTTCTCCAGACCTGCTTCTTCCTAGGCACCTCTCCTCAGTTGCCGTGGAAGCAGGACACAGGTGTGTTGAGAGCCTGAGCAGTCTCAGCGTCTGTGCTTTCCCAGGCCACAGCTCTCCTCTTCCTAGATTTGGGATTTAGTTAAGAAATCATTAAGTTAACCGAGAACAGACAAGATGCTTTTGAAGAACAAACTATTCCTTACCCAGCTTTGTAGCTTAAAGTAACTATTCAAGTTCATGGCTTTATTAAAATGAACTTTGACTTTTTTAATGTTTATATCTTATTTCGGTTCTCTTGTTTATTTTAATAAGAATTGAAATAACTAGACTATAAGTCGCTTTCCTGTTTTCTTTCTTTCTTTTTTTTTTTTTTACGAAGTCCAAGAATGTAACAATAATGGCATCTTTCCTATGGTTCTATGCCAGAGTCCTACCACAGAATAGAATGAACTGATATGTCTGTTTACCATGTTATTGATAGTCTTTTGTCAGCTGCTTTTATTAAAAGTCCTTTTTGTGGATTTGTAAATCATTTTCAATACATGACGTATAGGAATCCTGTCCCCCATTTACTCAGAATGTTTCCTCCCAGAAGATGCTGGGCGTTTACTCTCATGAAGACTTCTTAGAACTGATTTCTTCAGTTGCAATGAGTGAGTTTGTGTTTCCATTCCTTTTAGAATGAGTCTGCACAACTTCTCAAAACATGCCTAGATATAGAACCTGAGCCCCAGAATGGTTTTTAGCCCCTTAAATTTGTCAAGAGATTGGACGGCAGGCCAAAAACTGAAAATGTGGGATGCCCTTTACGTGATTGCAGAGCCGAACACTAGTGGGGTTTTGAACTCACTGCTGGCTGCTCTTAAACTGTGGCAACTTCCTCATGTACAATGGACTAATCTGTCACTCTTACTGCCATCATCGTTTACGGTTTCGTATCTTAATTTTTAGTGTGGTGCTGAGGCTGAATCCAGGGTCTCAAGCATATCTGATAAGGCTTTTTGCTTGTTTTTTCATGAGAAAAGGGTCTCATCCATGAAGCCCCTCTTGAGCTTTGGGATGCCAGATATGGCGGTATGCCATCACTCCTTTTGTTTTTTAGAGAAACTGGTCTATCTGTCCAACCACAGAGAAATTCCAGTGTGATTTTTATTAACCCAACTAGTTATTTAATTAGAAAATCTGTTGGTGGGGGCATTCCTATTTGAAAGAAAATGCTATTTGATTATTAACCAAGTTAATGGACATTGTTTTCCAAAGCAGCTGTGTTTCTGGTGAGTAATGAACAAACGTGTTATTTTCTGTGTCACTTGATTTATTTTTCAAGCACTGTAACTTGGGATGGATGGTTAGAAACAATAATATATTAGGGTTTCTACTTAACCCTTTCAGGACTGAGCTGTATCACCTATTAATTTCTCCCTGTGTCGTGATAAATGTTTGCCAGCATTCAGTACTGTGTCGGTCCCAATGTAGGTTTATGTAAAAGCTCAGTTAGCTTATTCCTTGTACCTTACAGCATGCCCTACACATTCAGTCCTCAAGGGGTTACTTTACAAACTGTGCGCCTGTAAGGGTTATTAGCAATAAGATAGAAAATTGAGCAAGTTTATACCATAATTTTGTAGAAAAAAGAATCTGCTCAATTCCATATTTCATCCATGAAAAATCTGCAATACGGGCAGTTTCTAGGAATAAATAAAAAGGAAATGTAAACCATTGTAAATGTCTTCTGTGGGATGTGCCTGATGCATGTATTATCGTCTTTGATTTCAGAATTCTTTATAAAGATAAAATTAAATTCCATATTACAGTTTGTGGACTTAAAAATCTTACCTTGTCTTTTAGATGACTTTGAAATAGTAATTATGCTAAATTAGTTTCCTTTTCAGTGTTTTTAAAATGATTTTCTTTTCTTCCTTGTGTTTGGGAGTTACTACTCAAGGGGCACATCTCCCAAGCCAACCCTAACAAAACTGGAGACTGCTTTTTAGCAGTGGCTTGCTTTTCTAGCACAGAGTTGTCATTTTGTATAGAATACCAAAGAAACATTAATGACAGTTTATTTATGCCTTTAGAAGGCTCCCCCAAATAGGGCCGAGCATACTTCATGTATAATTGAGACAGATATAAAGGGAATAAAATCACACCATTTCTGATCTCAGGTTTAGTGCTTCACTGACCTGACCTTCAAAAAAGGAGCTGTAAGAACTTTGATAGGAAGAAATGATTTCCTATCTTAAGAAACGATTTAGTTGAAATTTGCATTGTGGCATCTATAAAGATTGAGACTGTCAGTGGGCTGTTTGATATATAATTTAGAATAACAAGTTTGTAGTCTGTATTGTATTGTATGTGATCTTTTCCTGAGCAGTGTTAAAAACATTTGATTGAATACATTGTGTGTTGGCTATCCATCACTATATGGTCACTGATTACAACAGTGCAGTAGGCAAGCTATATTACATTGCACATACAATAACATGAGTGGTTATAGAGGGAAATCTCAAAAAAAAGATAAATAGCACACAAATTATACACCAAAAGAGCCCCTTAAAAAAGTTTTGCAATAGAAAACAATTGATAAAGACAGATGACACTGTTACATATAAAATGCCCATGAGGTGGCTGACTCACCCCAACCTGGGGTTAACACCCAGAGCACAGGGTCATGAGAGCTGTGAGAAAGGAACCTGAGACCCTGTTGGATTGGGCCACTGTACACAGACTCTTGGGTTAGAAGTAGGATCACTGACATTCCTGAAGGAAGAATATGGAGTCCAGTCTAAGGTGCTGCTATGTCTTGGTTTCTTAACCAAGAACTGCAGCTAAGCCATAATACAAGAGGAGATTGTTTGAATAACATGCATATTAAATGCAGCTGTTGGGATTAGTGTTGATTGGGGGAAGTGATAATTGAAATTAGATACTCAACATTTATTGCAAATGTGAGTAGGAGGTAGGTGAATTGAGTAAGGTCTTTCTGGCTCTTTGAATGTGGTTCGTATTTATCACCCCCTATGCCTCTGTTTCATACAGGCGCACACACTAGTCGTAGTTCTTTACCCAGACATGCTTTGTACCAGTGCTGCACAGATTGATTTACTTAAGTCCTGAACTATCTAGCTCACCTCCCCACAACCCCCCCCCCCCACACACACACACACATACACACACTAAAGAGGAAGACTGTGACCAGGTTGTTGTTACAGTGGCCTAACTGGTTTCCTCCATCACAGATTCTCAATGTGGTATGTAAATTAATTGGAGCTTTGGGGACAGTTGGACAATTGCAGTTCAGAGACAGATGCTCTACTCTTGGTATTTATTGTCCTGAGAGCAGTGGGTGTGCTGGTGGCTGATAGATCCCAAAGGAAAAGGCACAAATTGTGTGATCCTTGGGAAGGGTTTCAGAGAAAGGGTAAGGGAAAGAATGTGTAGGCATTTATCAGAAGTTTTTTTTTTTTAATCCATGTTTTTGTTTGTGGGTCTCATAGAGCCGAGATTCGTCTCCTGCACCTTGTAGTTGAGAACTCTTGTCCCTTGTGCCACGTGTAAGATTACTAGCATGTGCTACCATCCCTGGCCTCCCAGTAGTAAGACTTACATTCTAGTAACCAAGAGGTTAGACTTTGTTAGGACCAAACTGGGATCTTTAGATGTTCTGTAACCTTCCAGGCCCAGAGGTCAGTTAGTGTGCAGTCATCTAGAGAGGACTCTAAAGTACTGCTGCTGTGACAGAGTCCCACAGCTTGAGTGCCAGTGATAGAAGATGGTTCTCAGAGCTTTGGAAGTTGGAAACCCAAGATCAAGGAGCCCGCACAGTTGGTGGGATTCTGGCTTTCAGAAAGCTAGTTTCACCGTGCTCTTACACCAAGAGAGAGAACTATTGTAGGCTCCACCCCATAGGGTAGTTTCTTGCCCCAGATACACACGTTTAGCTGTTTTAAATGACAAATTGTCTGTCTACTGCTGCTGTTTCCTGTATTTTAAATAGTGGTTGAGGTTTCTCATAGTACATCAAGATGATGTATGGACTTGGGCTAAAGGGACAAGCAGAGAGCTGGCTTTAGGGAGAAGAGTGGAGATGTAGTTCATTAGTAGACTCCTTCCCTAGTGTGCTTGACGCCTGGTACCATTAGTACGGCAGGGGAAAACAGTGCAGGGCAGGTCACATTCATTACCACTTGTATTCCATTCCAACCAACATGAGACAGAATGCTTGCCTATTTCAGAGAGGGGTTTTCTCACGGTCAGATGTAAGTCAGTTGGAGTATCACATTTACCCCAGGACCTTCCAGACACCCTCCTAAGTATCACTAGATTCTTCCCACTGTAATTGTCAGAGCTAGGGACCTAAGGGGGCGACCCCAGATGGTGGTGTGATGGAGATAACTGGTCTGTTTCAGCCTTCACATGTCACCGGTGAGGAAAACTGGCCTAGAGAAGCTGAAGTGTGCCTCTGTTGTGAAAGATTCAAAACTGCCTTGTGAACAAAAAGTGCTGCTCGCTTTTGGTGCGTGTCCTCTGTTACTGTTCTTAGTCCCCTGTCCAAGTCTTACACATAAATGCACATAGCACACACTAGGGAGTGGTCCTGGACAACTCAGCACATCTCTGTCCTCAGGCCTTTGTCACAAAACAGATGTGAACTGGGCCTCATGTTGGCTTTAGGAAGACCAGGACTCAGTGTCAGACTATGAAATATCATCTTTGTGCTCAAGAAAAATAAAGCCCTACCATTCTGCCATTACTTATTGTCTACCATTCATCTAGCATATAAATTTGAATTTAGTGTCATTCTCAACTAAGTTTTGTCCTGTGGAGATGGAGGGCAATCTAGTTGAGAGCACACTGGCCTCTGCTCTGGCTGTTGGGTTTAAGATTCTCTTTGACTTAGGTCTTCCAGGGTAGTGTGACCCTATAGAGTGCAGAGCAGGTATCTGCTGGCTTTTTGGGTTTGTTTGTTTGTTTTTCTCCCGAAGAAAAGAAAGATAATTTGTTTTGCATGTGATACTGCAGATTTTTTTTTTAAATGCACAGATCACTTGAAATCACCTTGTAAAGGATAGTCACTCTTCATCCTTACATCACTTTTTGGGATTCACCAGTGCAGGTCAAATAAATGGGTCCAATGAGCTTCCAGGGGCTGACTAGTTTCTTTCAGAGTCTAGGATTTCCAGTTGGTGGAAAGGAAGCCCAGCTCTAAAGGCACGTGGTGAAACTGCCCATGCCTACCAGCTCTCTCCACAAATGTCCCTTCTACAGGGCAGGCCCTTTGCAGTTCTGGCATGCATTCACACACACACACACCATTGTAGCTGATAGATCAGTGACTAACCAGGAGCAAACTGGGACTCAGAAAAGAATGAAAGACAACAGAAAGCCATCCCAATTCCGACTTCTGAGGCTCTGCAGTGTTCCTTGGGAGGGCTTTCACTGTGTGAGGTTACATGGGAAGATTCCTGGTCTCTGCCACCTATATGGCCTTGATGGCTATTTGTAGACCTGGTTTATTTCTAAGTACCACCATAGCCTGGCACTGCAGATTCAGCCAGCAGTACAGCAGATCCCTGCCTGACACATGTTCTTGTCGGAAACAGGAAGTGTTTCTAGTGGAAAAGGTAGCACGTAACTGAACTACTGCAGTCACCTGTTAGGGTGTAAAGGAGGAAAAGAAAAGGTTACAGTTTGAGTCCTGCATTGCCTGGCGAAAGAAGACTACTCCAGCATGTGTAGAGGACAACTAACTGCAGATTCTCAGCAATGAAAACCTAGTGGACCAGGCAGAAACTAGACGGATTGACAGAACAAAGGAAAGTCCTTCACTGTCTAATGGTTTTAAATAACATTTTCCAAATCACTGCAAACTTGCTAACAGTCAGTTTGGAATTAACTTTCTCTTTACACCTCCTGTCTAATCACAATTTAGCTAGTCCATCTTCAGAGCTACGAATGTTACCTGTCTAAAACTGCCAATTCTCATGCCTGACCACAGTTAGATGACCAAGTGCCAAGCCACCCACAGCTGTTTAGCATCCAAATTGAAAGTACCAAGAAGTTAGAGAAGCTTTTAAAATCTTTGGCTTGAAAGCAAAACACCATCTCCATTGTAATTGGGTTCCTTTGTCATGAGAGCAGTTTAGAAAAAAGAAACCTAATGAGCAGCGTATGTGGTGGGATAATATTGGCTGACCCTGTGTGCTAGGCAGGGATACTATTACTATGAAAAGACACCATGACCCAAGAAATCAACTTGAGGAAAAGGCTTATTTATTTTCCTTCCCTGAGGTGTTTTCTTAATTGAGACTTCACTCAGATGACTTCAGTTTGTGTCATGCTGAAATAGAATTTCACTCAGATGACTTCAGTTTGTGTCATGTTGAAATAGAAGTAGCCAGAACAGCATGACTGGCTATCTGCTGCTGGGTAGGGTTGGAATGGGGGCTTCACAGAATTCTGCTTTCAGCCTGGTGCTTAGAAGACCATGTAGGTTCCTTGCCTCACAGAAGTAACTGGGCATCTAGATGACAACAGATGATAGAACCTTCTCAGAGTAGATGTATAAATGCTTGGTGAGCTGAAAAGCAGAATCCTAGAGATATGTGGTGAAGGGATTGAGGGAAGAGAACTGAATTGGAAAATACAGAAACATGCTCACATCCACACCACTGCATGTTCTGGACGCCTGCTCTGAGCATGAACAGAGCCAAGGGGTCTTTGGGAACGTTGACCTTTTTCATTATGTGGCTTGAAAACTGACTTCTCATTATAGACCACCAGTGAGAAAGATGGCCTGGCAGGTGCTGATGTTGGAGCCCACAGCACCTGAACTGCTGCTTTTGTAACTTTTCCTTTTTAACATTTGTAATAAAGGTATTTTTAGATACTGAGGAATATAAAGGTATATGTACTTTGCTTTTGAAGTAGCTGGGGGCAGGAGTTGCAAGCTCCTGATGTGATAGCCAGCGGAGCAACTTGTTACAGAATCAATTTGATGTACGGAGGCTTGCCTGACAACTCACTCTGACACTTCCCTGCCACTCCTAGGTCCTGGGAACCCTTTATACCTGGCTCCTGGGACACTAAATTTTCTGGCTACATTCTCAGCCTTTCCACTTTTAACAGCCCATATAGTCCTTTCTCCCTCTGCTCCCCTACAACACTACCCACAGGACTACCCCTCTCTGCTTGACCTACCAAAGCTGACTCCCAAATTCATGGGTCCTGCCCAGGTGCCAACATTGCTGGAGTGTTCCCCAGTAAGACTACAACAGGTGGCAAAACGTGGAGATGAACTGCTCTGGAGACGGTTTTAGGGGATATCGTCTGCTCTTTGTACATGAACAACCACTTACATAGTGGAAGCCTATCGACTGGGATTGGCTAGCAGTT